GGTGTTACACTGGTCTGGGGCTACTCATCTCATCCCAAAACTGCCTACATCTCAACCTTCTCCTGTGCAGTTATACTCAGCCATTCCCCAGACAGTTCCATCCCAGAGCTGGATGCATCTCTGCAGCCATTCTGCTCAGCCATTCTCACCCTGTTCTACCCCAGAGCTGGCTGCATTTTGTCCTTCTCCAGGGGGTGTTATTCCCTTCTGTTTCACCACAGAGTTGGCCATATCTCAGCCCTCCCATGGAGGTGGTATACCCAGTCCTTCCTTTGCTGCACCATCCAGAGCTGACTGCATCTCAAGCCCTCACTGGGCCAGGTTATACTCAGCTGTTGCTGGCTCCTCTACCCCAGAACTAGCTACATCTTAGCTGTTCCACTCAGCCAGTCCCCAGCCACTCCACCACAGAGCTTGGCACATCTCAGCCTTCCCCAGGGGATGTTATATTTGCCTGTACCCATGCATTCCACCTCAGAGCTGACTGCATCTCTGCAGCCATTATACTCAGCCATTGTCACCCTGTTCCACTCCAGAGCTGGCTCCATCCAAGCCTCCCGGTGAGATGTTATATTCAGCTGTCCTCAGCTACTCCATCCCAGAACTGGCTACAGCTCACCTTCCTCCAAGCTCTCTCTGTGTGGTGTTATACTCAGCCTTTCTCTGACAGCCCCACCCCCAGAACTGTCTGCATCTCAACCATCACTGGACAGTTACACTCCACTATTGCTGGCTCCTCTACTCAGTCATTCCTCAGTCACCCCATGATAGAGTAGGGTGCTTCCCAGATCCCCCATGGGGCATTATATTTGGCTGTTCCTGGCTTCCCTGCCTGAGACCTGATTGCTTCTCAGCCTCTCCCTGTGGTATTGAGCTCAGCCATTCCCCCGCTGCTCCACCCCAGAGCCCGCATCATCCCAGTCTTCCACAGTGGTGTTATGCATGGCCATTGTTGGTTCCTCCACCCCACAACTAGCTGCATCTCAGCCATTACACTCAGCCACGCCCAGCTGCCTCACCCCAGGGCTGAGCGAATCCCAGCCTCCTCAGAGGCATTCCCCATGTGCACCATGCCACAGCTACCAGCATCTTGGCTGTTACACTGAGCCATTCCCCAGATGTCCCACCCCAGAGCTGGCTGCATCCCAGCCTCCCTCAGCAGTATTATACTTGGCTGTTTCCCCAGCTCTTCCACCCCAGAGCTGCCTGCATCTCTGCCTTTATACTCAACCATTCCCCACTGTGCCTGCAGGCTTCGTGCTGTTCGTGGTGCTGGGTCTGGGCTGGCTGGGGGGCGTCCCGGGTGCAGCCCCCCTACCTGAGCGCCTGGCCCTGACTGCCTTCTTCGTGGGTGCCCTGCTCTGTCTCGCCTTCTCTTGCCTCTTCCACATACTGCATTGCCACTCTGAGCACCTGGCCCGGGCCTTCTCCAGGTACTACCCACACGCCAGGGTTCTTCCAGGGGATGGGAGCCCAGACGCCTGGGTTCTCTGGGCAGGGAGTAAGGGCTCAGGGGTTAGAGCGGGGCAGGGGGAAACTGAAGTCTAGATACCTGGATTCTCTGGGAGCGGACAGGAGGGCGTCTAGGGTGTGAGAGCAAGAGGGGCTGAGCACCAGGACACCTGGGTTCTTTGGGAAGGAAATGGGGCCCTGGGAGCCCAGATGCCTGGTTTCTTTCTGGAGCCTGTTGAGTGAGTTGGGGGGGGGAGTTGGGAGCCCAGAAATCTGAAGCTGGGTGGGAGGGTAGGATCTGGCAGATTGGGGGTGGAAGGGGTGGTCCCCCTGGACACCTGGGTTCACCCCCTCTCCTGCATTCCCAGGCTGGACTACTGGGGCATCACGCTGCTGACAGTGGGCAGCCTAGTACCGTGGCTGCACTACGCCTTTGAGTGTGCCCCGTGCCCTCGTTGCCTCTATCAGGGGCTGGTCTGTGCTCTGGGCCTGGCTGCTGCCCACACCGCCCATGGGCCCTGCTTCTCCACACCGCCATACCGCGCAGTGCGCACTGGTGAGCCAGGGCGGGGCCTGGGGGACAGGGTGGGTGTTGGGTGGGCCTGGGCTTGTGGGAATGAGGTGGGGGTTCAGGGACTGCAGGGGGGGCCAAGATGGAGCTGGGG